ATGAACAACACATCGCACATGACACAGTTGAAGTTAATGAGAGGGCCGACTTGAAGACAAAGCAAGCAACCAAAGAAGGCACAGATAGTCAATTACTATTACCAGCTGTAGATCTTAAAACGTAGTGGATAAAGAAATACAAGAGGAACTTCACAGTTTTTGTCAAAACACCAAACGGGACAGAGGAGAAAGCTGCTTTGGAAGGTACTACAGGAATGGCTCGTCTCCCTGGTTCCGAGAGATAAAAATAAACCCCGGCGCCTTCGTATCAGTAAACGGTATGAGAACAGGCCACACCAATCTAAAAGCAAGCCTAAACAGATTTAACACTGTCCACGGCCAAGTGCAAATGTGGTGATGGGCTGCAAACGGAGGAACAATCTTCTGAGACTATAAATTGTACGAGGACAAATGGGCAACACTCATGGACATTTTGTTTGAGAATAGTTAAAAAGAGTACCCAAAGTCAGTTATAGAGCTCTTAAGGTTATAAGGAAAAAGATTTCTACAAGGCGTCGGTTACTTCATAAACAGCATTCCTATATTTACAATAAAGTATATATGTAGGAAAAGCAAAAGAAGTAATTGTACTGATTATTAACAGCATACTCTCAGATTTAAGTTAAGATCTATATTAAGAATCGCGGGGTGACCGCTATTATAGAACAAGATGTTTATAAGAATGTGCTACAGAAGGCCGGGTGGGCATTGTCTAGGCCTTTTTTGTATTTACAATAATTATTCTACAAAAAACACTGTCGTTAATTTCGGTTTTCTAGACTGGGCCCGCTATTTCGTTGAAATATATCCTCCTGAGTGGACCCCGTTCCAGACTCACTACTTCTCAGAAAATCTGGTAGCGCTGCGAATAGAACCCGGACCTCTGGATCTGCAGACAGTAACTCTGACCACTAGACCACAGAGGAGGTCATTTTTATTACTAGTGGCGGTACTAGTCTTATTAGTTCAAATATTTGGGAACAACACTAAAATATCAAAATTGCGTTCATGAAGAAATTTAGAAGGGGTTCTGCTATCCAGAAACCTTAAGCTCTTTAGCACCATCCAACATTCCCAATGATTTCCAATGAATGTAAAATACCTAGAATTAGAAGCGCTTCTGTCTTTGTTGTTAGAATTGATGGAGTAAATGGGAGCACGCAGTACTGCGGTCTAGCACGAAGCACTGCTATGCTGGCTGGAAGGCCAGCAACAAATTACTGCTCCACGCAGACTCAAATTAACACTGACACGCGATAAGCTGCAGAACAGCCACAGTTGGGTGATGCTGCGCCCTATGTAATAGTGTCCAGGTTATATGATCCACGCACATTCATAAATGCGTGATACCATTTGTTGTATCCCGATGATGGTGATGGGATTCGAGCGGTTAGCCGAGCGGGAGACTGTTCCTCGTAGTACGTCGGACACTTAAGGATTGAAATCCAAATCGAACTCGCAGTACAATACAGTGAATATATTTAATATAAAGGATGTTGATACAAAGGTAGTACAGAGATTAAGAATATTGCGTGAATAGAAATTTATGAAGTCCCTATGACGGTGCACAGAGACTTACAAGGGAATGGTCCGATCCGACATGTCGAAACCTGCCCTGATTTTTTTTTCACTGCAAGAGTACACACAACAAAATCCACTGTCAAAATTTTAGCTGCTAATACGCACTGCAAGTATTTTTTTAAAAATTGCTGAAGTTACTCATTTTTTGTGTACGCGGAACCGCTTGTACCAGAGGTTTGTGCAACCCCAGCTGTGTGCTTGTCAGATTACGATGCATTTGTGCCGTGTTATCTGTCTACCGATGCACTGGAAGCCTAGACTGTGAGTCAGCCGTCTTGCGTGTTGCATACTGCTCTGCTCTGCTAGGGGTGGACATTTCTCCAAGGGTCTGGCAGGCTATAATATTGGCCAAGTTCAGAATTTTTAAAAAAATACTTGTAGTGCGTATTAGCAGTTAAAATTTTGACAGTGAATTTTGTTATGTGTACTCTTGCAGTGAAAAAAAAATCAGGGCAGGTTTCGACATGTCGGATCGAACCATTCCCTTGTTAGTGCAGAGTATGAACTGAAATCTATGAAGTCCGCTCCGCGCCCCAAAACGTGGTCTTTTAAAGAGGCTAGGATGGGCGTTGTCGGGCAGTCACATGCTATGCTCCACGTGGAGTTCATGATCATAGCAGACGATTCCAAAGTTCCTGGTTCTCTAGTCGACAAACAAAGTGTTGCATCATGTGTGTTTGTCCCAACTAGGACTCACTATCTTATGTTATAAATATAACTTCCTGTCTGTAGAGTCAGACAAAATCTGATACATGTTTGAAGTAACATACAGGGTGTATGAACTGAAATCTAAGAAGTCCGCTCCGCGCCCCAAAACGTGGTCTTTTCAAAGAGGCTAGGATGGGCGTTGGCAGGCAGTCACATGCTATGCTCCACGTGGAGTTCATGATCATAGCAGACGATTCCAAAGTTCCTAGTTCTCTAGGCGACAAACATAGTGTTGCTTCATGTGCGTTTGTCTCAACTAAGCCTCACTATCTTATGTTATAATTATAACTTCCTCTCTGTAGAGTCAGACAAAATCTTATACATATTTAAAGTAATATATATGTGTATGTTAAGAGGTGCATGTATTACACATTTGAGGCTGGTTGCCGATTTGCCCCTGTACTTATTGAGCAAGGTTAGGCCATCAAGAGAGCCTGTGCTCGATGTCGATCTCAAACTTCAAGGGTTACAACTTTCTTGTTCACGTCTGTGCCCTGGGTTCGACAATGGACAGAACCGTGTAAAAGTGAATAAAAGGATATACACATCATCTTGGCTGTAACGCCGTGTCGAACCTCATCTCCTGCATTCGGTTATCGTTCTTAGTGTGTGCTACTGTCTTCATATCGCGCACTCACAATCCAATTATAACATCAAATACTGAAACAAATATATTATACACGGTTTTCAAGAAATTTTCATGAATAATCAATTTTCCTGCAAATGACTACCGAGACACTATTCTTGATGAATCCATCAATCGCAGTATCAGTACCTAACACTGGAGAAGACACTATAGATAAAGCGGTTATCTGTATATAGAATAGAATCACTGTGCTTAACGTTATCATGTTTCATTCACACTAATAACCCAGATCACTTGCAAGATACACTCGGGTTCCCACAGCCAGATGTTTGCAGTCCAGTTCTCCAGGAAGAAGTAGAATTTGCTTCTGACGTTCCAGCTTGCACGCCGGCTGACATGGCGTTTCTGTCATGCGACCTATGCGCTGTCCTGCGAGTGGCACAGGAAGTACGGTCCTAGCGGTCACAACACTGTTCTTGGTAGAGCCAACTACCGGCAAGATCAGTAACACATTCATAATTACATGCAACATAACTGTGAGTTTATTGCATACTAATAATTCGGATAATATTCTTTTGCGTCTTTCCTACTTACTACAGTTTACGTCCACGTTTCTTTTCGTGTTTTATTTCCTTTCTTTTGCTTACCTGTAACTGACATTCTTTGTATTGCCTCGCACTTCATTAAACAATTTTTTGCAATTGTTATTCACTCTCCATTGACAGCCATGTAGTGTTCTAAGTTCTACATAGCAAATATTTATAGATTCATATGCAACTGTAAAAATAATTATGTCTCACTCAGTGAACTGAAATTCCTCCATGTAAAATAATATAATATTATTTTAAAACGTTCTGAATATGGAAAAGATGTCTACACGTATTGACAGCAATGAATTTTGAAAATGAATGTAAATGATAATATGACAATCTGTTAGGAAGTAACACCGTATAGTTTCGTATACAAATAAGGTCCTACGTTCAAGATGCAGGCAGCAATTTATTATCAGATATTTCTGAATATCCTGCAGACTACTCGCCATCATATACACGTACAAGGAGGTCATGATCGAAATCCTTTCAGGTCTCGGAATTTAATCGCAATTTAATGCGATTAGGGACACCGAATGTGAAAACTGAGGAGAAGGAGAAGAAACCGATGAAGGAAGAAGAAAAGAAGACGTCGAATAACACGAGGAGAAGAAGCAGAGATGGAGGAGGAAAGGAGAATATTTATTTTAGTGTTAACTGCTCTGTATCTGTTTTGTTACGTTCGCCTTTTTACGTGTTCTGTGGCGAGAATCCTCCTGTAATGTTGCATAATGCGACTGAGTTTTCTTATTACTATTATTATTATTATTATTATTATTATTATTATTATTAAAAGTAAAAATAAAAGTATCCCTGTAACAGGCTGTGGAGGCTCATAGGTTTGTGAGATTACGATGTTCCCACATTTTCTAGACAATCGGCTCAAAGATGGCGATGAGGTTGTCAGCCCTACGCGCCGGCAGACCTTTACCCGCAAGAATATTCCTGGTGCTCATTTCTGTTAGAGGCTGAGTCGACTCCAGGGCCATAGTGCGGCTGGAAGGATTAGGTCAATTGAAAAAAATCCAATGACCTCATCTGGACTTGAACCCGCTATCTTTCGGCTTGTAGCATAGTGCCTCAACCAACTACGCTACCGCATCAATTATTATTATCACCATAATTCCTCCTCAGCATATCAGAGACTTTACTTTTTTCGACGTCCACTCCTCGAGTAGGGATTATCCCTGTGCTAGATGCGATTTTTCTGTTAATGTTCCTTGCGGGCACTTTCACGTATTTGATTCTTAATTGTATTCAGGACCAATATATGTGCGTATTTTTCTCGCTGTATAATGGCTGGCGAAGTTGTATTTATTGAATTTCTATTATTGTCTGAGTTGCTTTGTATTGTCTTAGATTAGCTAGATGTGTGTGCCTGTTAGCGTTCATCACTGTGCATGCTTATTTTATGAATGGTCTTTGGACTGTCGTGTAAGCACGCCAATAATACGGAACTGAATTATTACAGAATACGTTTCCACTTGAACAGTGACCTACGCAACAACATTTACTGCTGTCTCTCTGAGTTACAGTGCTACTTGGACCAGACGAATCGAAGGTTAAACTGGAGGATAGTCATGTGATAACTATGTTACTCGAGAATCCCGAAGACAAGCAACTCGTCAAGGAGGTGGCCCAGAGGATCCAGAAATTCTACTTCGGAGACGAACGAATTACTTATGCTCCAGATTCCGGTATAACTGATGTAAGTGATTTTGGTCTTCATTCACTTACGTCATACCCTGGTTGTAGGCCAGTCCGGTTTGTGTACTGCTGTATATGGGCTTCAAATTTGCTCTCATAAAACACAGACTGAGAATGCCTGAGTGAAGCGTTGGGATCATTCTGGTCAAAATAGATTCTCGTGAGAACAGAATAAGACGATCCGAGATAGAATAAAGAAATCAGTAAGGCGGAAATACCCCAAACAAATAATCAAGTCAAATATCAACAAAGAATAAATATAATATATAGATAAAGAAAAGAATACAAAACATGATGTAAATACCTGTTACAAGATCATTGCAGAGTTCGCTTTTCTTAATTTCAATACCATGTAGAAGAGTAAATTTGGATAGCCGAGGATGGCTTCGACCGGAGGTCTAAAAACGAAAACACCCTACCCCTTCGACGTTTGGGAAGTTAAGAGCCTTTTGTCCCGCTCCTTAGGCCGCTAAGCTCAGCAGGAAGGAGAGAGGGGGAAAGACAGTAGAGGGGAGAAGTGAGCACACAGGCCACGGACATGAGCCGACGTCACATGAGAACAATGTGCCGAGGAAAATAATCTGGAATCAAACGGACGAACAGAGGGAAATAATGAGAAGTTTCATAAATTGTGTTACTTGTCATTATCATTTTGTGATTAAATGTAGAGAAATGAGATAGGTGGAACATGTAGCACGTATAGGGGCGATAAGAAAACAGTACATTCCTTCAGAAAGCCTCAATGGAAGAGATCATTTCGGGAAATCGGCGTGCATAACAACAGAATGAATGTTATAAAGAGGTTATAAGGATGTGAACTGGATTCAACTGGCTCAAGATATGGTCCACTGACCTTCTTGTGTATACAGGCTAATCAACTACGGGGATATACGAGAATTTCTTGAGCAACCGAATCGAAAATAGCACCTCAAGGGTTTACGTTCTGCCAGTTCTTGCCAGCCACGGTGTGTCCCAGAAACGTGCTCCAGGTAGCTGCATAGGAATTACTATACTTCATATAATTTAAAGAACAATACACGTACAATTATAATACCCCTAGAGAATTCGGTTCCGATGCATTTTCTGTACCATAAGCGAACCCGAGGTACCGCGAGTAAGAAGAGGGATCCGAACCATAAGTCACATTGACACACTAATGTCTTGGGCCTGCGGTGTGTGCACTTTCACTGATATATACACATGAGGACAGTTCAAGCGAATTCCGGTCGTGGTGTCACTAGCGAATATGTAGCACTCGACCGCCAGTCTTGCCTTGGAAACCGAAGAGTTAGAGCAGGAGGGAACAGTTCCGTCAAACGAACCGGCCTCGTTCGAACAGCCGTCAAATGTTTGTGATTAAAATAGGAGTATGTTAAATGGATATAAAAACAAAATCAATATGCATTTCAACCAAACGAAGAAGACAATAACACATCCCCAGCGAAAAAATAAATGCGCATAAAGAAGATTATGGTCTTCTAGGTTTGTGACAACGCGAATACTAACGTTTCGACGAGCACGATGCTTACATATTTAGAAATGAAGTGGGGTTAGGAATATGCAGCTTAAGTCGATGTCAAACTGAATGTGACAATGCGAAGGAAGTTCGGTCGGTCTGTCTTCCGGTCATTTAGTCTATCTTGGTCTCGAGCTTTCTTGGGACTCATGATTAGATATTAGACTTAATTGTTGACTACAGAATTCATAGTTGTCTTGGGGCGCTCTTTCTAATGAGAAGACATTTCTGCCGGTTGTTAAAAATCTTACTATTGTCCTTACATGTCTGTGCACACATTTACAGATAAACACTATACACTTTACATCAGGCCTGCCGAACTTCAAAACACTGAAACCAACATTGTTCCGTCAGTACTTACCCGCAGGCCGAATAAAAAATAAGTATATGTGTATGGAGCTGCATAACTGTGCACTTCTCCAAATATAATTAGAATGATCAAGTCAAGGGGGATGAGATGGCATGTAGCAGGAATTGTGGAAGAAAACTTCAACCGCTCACTTCGTTGGGCCCTTTTCGTTGGTGTCGTGAGGATCGAACCCTTGTCCTTTTGAGATTCATTTATATTAGACATTTTCTTTATAATATAATATTGTGACATGTTGCGCAAAGTCGAGCCCCCACCACACCAGCAGTGACGCGGCGGGTGAGTCAGCGCTCCCCTCCCACCCCTCAGCGGTAACGTAACGCTCGCGTAATAGGCGAGTAATCACCCCGCATCCTGGCAGCTATGCGCGGTGACGTCACGAGCGGAGCCGAAGAGAGCCGAGCGGAGCCGAAGATAGCCGAGCCCCGTAACCGGGTAACTATGCAAGGCGAATCAACAGCGGTGACGTAACAGGATGACGTGGCACTTATTACGCAACAAGCAAGCACTGCAGCTATATAAGTGAGCTGCACAGTGGCTGCGAGTCAGTTATAAAGTAACAGTCGCCGAGTTGGAACAGAGCAGCCTGCGAGTGTGCGATACTTAAGAAGTCGGCGAGCGGAATACTTTTCGTGTGCTTTCCAGACATAGTGAGTGCTGTAGTACAGTTATACTCGGAGTGTGTAATTCAGGGAGACTGGTATAGCTCCCGCGTTATTAATACTGGAAGACTCTTGAAGACAGTGTTAAGAGATTGTGTTGTAGGGTTTGTAAACTGTAGAAACCCGTAATAGTGTGATAATTAATTGTAGCCGATAGTTGTAGATTGTTCAATAAACCAATTAACGATCTCTACGGCGTATTCAGTAACGTAAACACGTTACAATATGTATAACTTAATAATAATAGTAACAATGATAATATTCACAGGTAGGCTACATCTGGCACCTTGGTCTTGACGGCGATGCATACAAATGTAAGAAAATGCTAAGTTTAAGACGTGCTAATGCACTTGGTGTAATAGCGGATTTCCTGACACCCACGCATAGCAGGTTATTCTCAAATATAGCACAGCTGCATTTGCTGATGGAGGAAACAGGTGTTTGACTTGTATTAACAGAGGGGAGAAATGTTTTATCTCTCCAAGTAAGTAGGCTATTTCGAGTGAGGCGTGTGTGTCCTGGGTTCTGTTATTGTTTAGTTATGAGGGGACAACTTGCCCTCTCTAAGACAGCTGATGACATCATGCGTGGATGGACTTGGAGCACACGCATCATGCCACCTGTGTAAACATCACCACGACCCTCTTGAGACCGCATTGTACATTATAAGTTTGTAACGCGGTCGCGAGAGATTATTAGTATCACAGTAGTGCCAGTGGTAGGAGGTCGGCGATCGAGTCTCGGCTTGATACGGCATGTAGTCACCAAGAAGCTACAATAAATTCTGTTATTCTATCCTATCTTCTGTGTTGAGGACATTGAACATCTTCCACCCACGTCGATTGACTTCAACCTCATCCTGATTCACAACCATAGCACTCGTCGAGGATACACAGCTCTCGACGAACCCATTAATAAAATTGCTATAAGATTGTTGGCGGCTGGAACCAGGCTCGCTACCCAGCCAACGCAACACTTATAACATTGGTTTCCACTTGTATCACCGTCCTTTTAACTGCCCTCATCCCTCTTCTCGTGAATGGCGAGAAGTTAGGTGGGAAGAATTTGGGTTGCTGGTGCTGGTAGGCGAGAGTTCGGTTTCGGTACTACCATTAAGTGTCTCGCAAGTAGGGAAAGATGGGAGTACCTGGGTTCTGTTCTGTAATTTGTAGAGATGAGTTCTTATTCCGGGATCTTATACGGGTCTGGCTCGGGCAGGGCAGGAAAAATCTTTCCTTGCAATCACACTCATCACTTCAGACTTTTGCACTTAGTAATTATTTAATTCACTCCAGCTCACTAAAGACAAAGGAATCTATTAGTAACACTTATTTAGAACTTTACTTATAATACTTTTACTGAAGGGACGTAGTTGTAATTTGTATTCGACTTGGCCGAAAGTTGGATGAAGAATCCTTGAGGTGATGCACCCTCTCTGAATCCTGAGGTCCACGAACCACAGACTCCAAGAGAAATCCACTCCTCCACTCTTGCCACTGGTTAAGTTTTCATAGTAGGAGGTCCTCAAAATTATTGAATTTCCACTCATGTTGCTTTGCTATGTGATTCTGGCAGCTGCTGACCTGACGCTAAGTTTGACAGCGACTTGATGCATTACAACCAGGGTATGAGGCTCAGTCACTCCTCCTTCTAAGTTGTAGCGGCCCAAAACTGTCAGCTCTCAAATTCTCAAAGACCTTCCGACTCTGCTGAAACTGCCAGAATTCCAGGAAAGTACCAGATTTTACTTCCTGTCCACATAGCAAAACTTGAAGTGTGTCCCTTCTGCGTGTAAAAGTTCGCTATCTGCCGTATTCGCTTTGTATTTACTTGATATTAACTTAATATAGATTTAATTAATACAAAATGGTCCACCCAATATTATGATGAAAGGTTACAAGACGAATGCATAGAGGTTATTGATTCGCTGTACGCTGTTCCTCCCATTTTAGTTCACCTTGACACTCTTATTCCGATAGACAGTACCACGTAGTTCCATAATTTTTTAATTAATTTACTAGGCGTCATGTGAAATCAACTGAAAAATTAAACTGAATGTTTAGGAAGCGCTTTTCGTATTTTCTTAAACAAGAAAAGTACGTCTCCTTTCTCTTTAGCAGGATGAATACGCTAAGAAGCATTTTGGGGAACTGCAACACATTCTCGGGTCCGTACAATAGATAATAATCCACTATCGCAGACTCCTCTCTTCACTGTTCAGCTTCAACCGATGTGAACACGCACCTAATTGATAATAATATTGACCCACAATGAACTCGGGAATATTCAACTGAACTCACACTCACTCCTCTAACCGAACAATATTGATGTGATGCGATTATCAATGAGCTCCACCGATGAACGCAACCTCACACATTCATAGGAAATAGGGGAGACAGAGAGATCCGACTAGTCCCAGCCAATAGAAACGGTAAACAGAAGATCAGAGAGAAGAAATGGGGGTGTCAGAATATTAACGCCCAAAAAGACTACTATGCATTCCCTGTTCGTTGTTCCTATTGGCACTGACCGGCCTCCTTTCCCCTCTCTTCACTCAGTGATATTTGTTACCAGCCCCAATAAACTGAACGCATTATCAGCATCCTCATTTCGGCCTTGAAGATGGAGGCAGCATGGTCCTCCGAAAGGTGAAATCCACCTACAAAATTAAACAATGCCACAATCTCAACAAGCAGAATCGCGAAAAACTGAAAACGTGTGAGTATACTATTCCAGCTGAGAATTTGTCAACTTATTCTCCTGGAAGGCGCGTGCGTATACTATTCCAGCTGAGAATCTGGGAACACATTCTCATGGGAGGCGTGACTGTATACTATTCAAGCTGACAATCTCGCAACACGTTCTCATGGGAGGCGTGTGCGTATACAATTCAAGCTGAGAATCTGTCAACACATTCCCTCGGGAGGCTTGTGCCTATACTAGTCCAGCTGAGAATCTGTCAACACGTTCTCATGGGAGGTGTGTGCATATACTATTCAAGCTGAGAATCTGTCAACACATTCCCTCGGGAAGTGTGTGCGTATACTATTCGAGCTGAGAATCTGTTAACACGTTCTCATGGGAGGCGTGTGCCCATACTAGTCCAGCTGCTGTCAACATATTCTCATGGGAGGCGTGTGCCCATACTAGTCCAGCTAAGAATCTGTCAACACATTCTCATGGGAGGCGTGTGCGTCTACTATTCCAGCTGAGAATCTGGCAACACATTCTCGCGGGAGACGTGTGTGTATAATATTCCAGCTGAGAATTTGTCAACACATTCCCTCGGGAGGCGTGTGCCCATACTAGTCCAGCTGAGAATCTGTTCACACATGCTCTCGGGAGGCGTGTGCCCGTACTATTCCAGGTGAGAATCTGTCAACAAGTCCTCTCTGGAAGCTTGTGCATATACTATTCCAGTTTAAAATCTGTCAACCAATTCTCATTGGAGACAACAGTGAAGATGAATTATTCTGTTGCAGATGCTCACTGATATATTCTTCTTGACTGGGACGAACTTAGCAGCGAGACTACACTCTAAGAGAGGGGCGCAAGTCTATTACTACCTATTTGATTACCGCGGTACCAACAGCTTCAGTACTGTACTATTGAATTCTACTGCTGATTATGGTGAGTGTTTACAGTAATTAAAATAGGCAAATATTTGCAACAACTCAGAACCAATTCCGGTAACTTGGGTTAGTTTTAGCCTATAGGAAACGTGTGGGTTGGCGCGTGCTCTCTCGCACGCACGCACGCACACGCACACACTTAGTAACTCAAGTACTGCAACATTAATGTTCACTGGGCGTGAGCCGACACTGATCTTATTTTGAATTTCAGGCCCTGTTCATCTCGACGACGTGCTGTACCTGTTCCCCCAGGATTTCATATTTCGCAATTCTAAACTGACAGCAGAGGATGAACGCATGGTGGAGACAATGACAAAGTTATGGACAAACTTCGCTCGCAATGGGTACGTCATATGCAGTGAGCGTCTCTGTGCCTAATTTGTATAAGGGAGACTGACTGACTTCATTCAAACTTCCGTGGCAATTGCTACATGACACTTCCCCAAATTTATCCAGTGTTTGACTAAATAGATTCAAAGGCGCTTTAGCGGCTCTGGTTACTTGTGCCTGGACAAAACTAAACCAAAACTTCTTTTGCTAAACCAGGAATTCAGCAGAATAAAATTAAACGCTCTTAAAAATCCAAAATGTTCCGAGTAAGGAGTGCGAATATGTACAAATAAAGTAATATTAGTAATCGGTTAAAAACTATTTTAAAATCTAGTGCTGATCTGTCGAGGACCAACAGGAAATTACTGCTCTGCTCAGAGCGTGTCCAAGGAAGACGAACCCTCCTCTCGCCGGAGTCCCAATTTCAAAGTACATAAGTGGTTTTGAGACGAACAGAAATGTGATAAGTCCCAGGATGTTTCGAAACAAATAATAGCTATGCTGGCGAAGACCAGCAGGAAGTTACCGCTCTGCTCTCCTTGGCTGTATAAGGGTCAGCCAGACCTTGAAAATAGATGAGTAAAGATTACTCAAACAGGAAAATCCAATTAAAAAATTATCTGCAACGTTAAAATAGAAATGCGTGGAATTGAAAAAATGATATACAATTGTGTATATGCCAGTGACTACTGAGACCAATAGTAAGGAGGAAATGACTCCAGCAGATTACTGAAACAGCATCCGTTACACTAGAGTTGTCGACCCCTTCATCATGACGGATCACATCAGCGACGCTAGACACATTAGGATGATCATTTGTTAACTTGTTCCGCAACTTGCCATGAAGATGTAATACTTGACGTTCTAGGTCATAATGTGCGCACGTGAACTGATAAACGTTAAGACGCAAATTCTTAGTCATCCTAAAATTGCGTCGCTTTATAAAACGTATTGGTGATGAAAAAGAAAAGGTGTAGTCGACAAATTAGGAAAATAGTCCCACTTACAAAGGGACAGCGTCAAAGAAAGTGATGTCATGAGAAAAACGCTATAACGTTGTAAATTTGTGTTTGTGTCTAACAGGAAACCAGCACCCACATGGAAGCCCGTTTCTTCGCCTGATGTGCTCGATTACATTCGGATCGCTCACGATGGGCTGCACCCAAGTCAAGGGCCTCTGAAAGAACGCAGTGAATTCTGGGACACTTTACCTGTCAAAACCTGATACTCACTGGCTTCAGACAAGGACGAACTCTAGCGGCTGTCGTACTATGCATCTCTGCTGTTCAAGTTATGGAGGAACTGCTAAGATAAACGATTTTCTTTTGGAAATATGATTATATTCCAAGTCTTTTAGGTTCAATTTCCTGTTTGTATGTAAAAGAGATTTTTTCCAAAGGATTTGAATATCACTTATGCTTTTAAATAATGCTTTACGCTGTTAAGAGTGCACATAATTTTCGCTACTAAGGTGTTATTTTGCTACTGTATAAAGCAATCAGAATGTCACACAACCAATTAGAAGAAGGATTATGAATTGCTTCAGATTTATTGAAGGAAACGAAACAGAGACATCCGTGTATGTAACTTCAGCTACTAATCGTAGTTGTAACAGCTCTCCCCAAAGCTGCTGTAGTTGTGTGTGGAGAACGTCTGCTTCATAAACAGAGCTTGTATTTGTTGTCAATCATTGCAAAGTGAAACTTTCTTACGTAGCTGGACAGATTTTATACATGAACTTCCAGATTCTCCATTTCCGGACAAATCGGCAGAACTTCATATGATAAAGGCCTCCGTGGCCGTGAAGTGCATCCGGTATAGCTCTGTAGTTATATGAAAGCTCACAAGAATAAACACAATACTGGAATTCTAACACTTTAGCAGTACAAACCTAGAATCCATGTAATCCTTGCCTTTGGGCCCGATGTCTAATCAAATCTTTTTTCCCCAAGATCCCTCTAAAAGGATTCCTCCCATCTATCTCTCGCTGTTGGAAGTGGCCGGCTTCGATGAAGCGTCCGCGCCAAAATTTCGAATGCATGTCTTGTGTTCCCTACCTGAGTGACATTCCTCTGCCCTAGCAGTGCTTCTACATTAATTTCGCGCAATCCCTGCTCACATCATTCTCCTCTCGTCGAATCTTCCTAAAAATTCCGCATTTGTAGTTCATGTTCTCGCTCCAGAGCCACGATACTACATTCTGCACAAAAGTAAAGTAAAAGTAAAGCTATCCCTGTACCAAACAGTGAAGGCCCATAGGATTGTGAGACGTTGAGGTTCCCACGTTTACAGTAGGGGAGCTATGTATCACTGTATCACACACTCCCAATTACACAATTACACACACGTCCGGTTCTTCTTTCCGCGACGGCTGCTATACTCCAACTGTAGTCGGCTGACTGGAGAACTGTTGATAACACACTCGCTCGACTACTACTTAACTCGGCGACTGCTACGTTACAATTGGCTCGTAGCTGCTGTGCAGTTCCCTTATATAGCCGCAGTGTTGCCTGTTGCGTGCCACGTCACAGTAGGAAGAGGTGCCGCGTCACCGTGTTTGCGTTTAGCCTAGCAACGTTCTTACCCCGCGCCGTCTAACCTCACCGCGCGTTGCGCGTTACGTTACAGTGCGGAGGGGGGGGGGAGCTCTGACTCATCCGCCACGTCACTGTGGCCTGAGTTTCCACGTTGCTGCTGGGTAGGAAAGGGTTCTCCGTTGCGCAACATGTCACAATGCTCCCTCCTTAAGGCTCTTCGTCCCGAATAGCCTAACGGTATATCCCCGTTCCTTTGCTTCGGAGGCTGTTCTTGCAGCATCTGTTCTCCGGCGGTTACAATATTTTAGGCAAACACTGGCGCACATGGAATAGACTTTAAGGGCAGAAAAATAGGAATAACTAATATATATTTTCCCTTCAAAATCTGAATATTATCGCATTATATTACAAGGGAATTTACATGCTTTTCACATATAATTCCCTTATAGGCCTATGAGATCGACAAAAAATTGTTCCGCGAGCGACCGGTCGATCGCGATCGACATATTCGACATGCCTGTCCTAGAGTAAGGGTGCACTTAGGATATGTTGTGCCACTGAATTCTTCCCCGCTGCCATTCTTTTTTATTCCCTTCAGTCACTAATGTGAGTATAATGACTCAGAAGTCCTGATGTGGGGACAGTGACAGTGCATCATCATATAAGGTCCTATAGTTAGTGTGGCAAGGAATCTTAGTGTTTTTATTAATGTTGTGTTTATGTAGAATGTAAAATAATATGCTCCACCATCCGAAAACAGTACACATGAATTGCTGTTTAACAGTGAAGTTAGACATGTAATTTCATATGATAGGTTATAAATATATCCACAAACTTTTGAAATATTTTTTGTTTAAAAATTACAGGCTTCTCTGTTGTGCAGGTTTGTGAGTTTATTGTGTGATGACTGAGGTAGTGAACATACTCTAACGTGTTTTGTTACTGAATACGCCGTAGAGATTGTTAATTGGTTTATTTAACAACCTACAAATCTCGGCTACAGTTAATTATAACAAAGTTGGGGGGTTTCACACTTTATAACCCTATTTGCAATATTCACTTCACTATATTGTCAGTAGTCTACACGTTTCACAGTACGGGAGCTATACAAGTGTCACTGTGTTACACACTCCCAATTACTGCTCGGTTATCACGAACTATCACTGATTATCACAATTTTACTCGTTCAATGCTGACTGGAGAACTGTCTTCGGCCGCTGATACACTTTAACTGTCTCCGGGGACGGCTACAAGTTAACTCTTCGGCGGCTGTGCAGTTCCCTTATATAGCCACAGTGCTTGCCTGTTACGTAATGAGTGCCTTGTCACAGTAGGAACTGGTGCCACGTCGCAGTGTTAACCGCGTCACAGCTGTGTTGCGCGTTACGTCACCGTGCGGAGGGGGGTGACGGAGCGCTGACTCACCCGCCACTTCACTGCTTGGGGGGGGTTCTCCGTTTCGCAAAATATCACACTGCTCCCTCCTTAAGGCTCTTCGCCCCGAATAGCATCCCCGTTCCTTTTCTTTGGAAGCTGTGCTTTCTGCGTCTCCTGTTTCGGCTACTCCTCGCAGCGATTATTATCCGGCCGTTACAACCGCTCCCTTCTTAAGCCCAGCTCGTCTCGAGCGGATTCCTGCTACGTGCCCGAAGATCCAGTTGTATCCCACTCATCCATCACTTTCATTCTTGCTAGGGAGGCTGGTGCTCTTACTACCGGTTCCCCCATACGGGCTGTTTCCCTTTTTTCGCTTTGAAGGGGGTCGACCCCTCCACAAGGTCCAATACTTACCTTGTCGTAGGCAGACAGAAAATCCGGCTGCTCGCTTGGCGATCTGCAGTCTTACAGTTCTTCTCAGGTCTGGTTTCTTCACATATCGCGGCTGTCCGCCGCCTAGGTCCTTCACTTCATTTCTGCTTTGTAGTTGCTGTCTGAGGCCTCGGTTCCTGATGCCAGTGTTGGGTTCCGGGCCTTTCCACAGTCTCTTCCCGAACGTCCGTTTCTTGGCGATTTTCGGTGCGACCTTATTCTTGTTTTGTCCCACACGCCTGTGTCGTACACAGCGTGTAATCTTTATTCCGGTGGCGGTCATTTCTTTCCGCTGGCATCCGAATTTTCCCTGGGGAGTTTCCTTCTTGAAGGCATTTCTCCAATGTCGTGCCACTGTCGCGCGACGGGATGTCTTCCTGCATGGAGCAGCCAAATTCATCCGGCGTCCACAGTTTTCCCGTGTGGAATTCTTCATATTTCGTCGATGTCGGTCCCTGCGCCTTTTGTTCTTCGGCTCTCCGACTGGCATTACTTCGGCGTCTTGTACGGGTACCTCTCGTAGTTCTGCCGCCTCAGGTTTCCCCTTCGCTGAGGCCGGCTCTTCTTCTTCTTCTAGATATGCCTCCGTCTCTTGGCAGGCCATCGTCATTCCGACCGGTATCATTATGGGGACCTCTTCTTGTTGTGCCTTCGCAGGTTTCGTGTCCTTTGAGGACGGCTTTCCTTCTTGTAGACGTGCCTCAATCTCTTGGCAGGCCGTCATCTCATTGTGGTTGGCATTCACCCTATTGTCTCTCATGGCGGCCGTCTCTTCTCGCCATGCTTGGCTGTCAGCCTCCCATTTTGCCATGAATTCCTTATGGTCTTTCCGTCTATTGGCCTCCAATTCTTCCAGCATGATATGTGTTTTTTCTCGATCAGCTCTGATTTCCGCGAGCACCTTTTCCATCATTTGCTGCATCTCCATTTTGTAACAGTAAAATATTTGATGCACAACAATCTGTTTGTGGCGTGTTTAAGTTCGTAACAATTCTGACACCAGTGTAACGTATCTTGAGTTTGAATCTTGTTGGTCACGTGTGTAAGTCCAATCCCACTTTATGTGTTGGCTGTATGTCACGCGACAAAAAATTTTACGCCGTACCGAATTTATTCCACTCACTCTCACACTTACACAATTTACAATCTCACAATTACTGCCATCGGCAGTATCACAATTACTTATTCTGTAGTCACTGCCACGCACTAGATACAACTGACTTCGGCAGCTGCTACATTTTAACTGACTCGTTACTCTCTCTGTAGTAACTCACTCAATACTCACTAATCACTCATAACTGGCTCAGTCCTCACTACTCACTGAACAGTGTTCGCTGCTCCTTATTTAGGCTCGGCACGGACAACATAAAGAACACCTTGCTGCTAGGCAATAGATATCAGGTATTGTTGTCAGGTGTTTCTGCCTACGCATTGCCTAGCAATAGGCACTGCACAAACACCTCTGTTGCGTGACGCCGTGTTTACCAATTGCCTAGCAACAGTCATTGCACTGGCTTGCCTGTAGCGTGACGTCACAGCCTCGCAAGGAAGGGTGTTTACTGAGCATTGCGTAATGATAGGAGTGGGGGTACGTGACACCACTCATGGAAACGCAAAGTTCACGTCACACCTACTTCTTGTTGTGCCATCCACATCACAACATGTATACATATAAAACATGAAAATGTGCACGCATATTAATCAAGATTATGTTTACTAGCCTTTATGTAGAGTATTTAAAGTTTTAGGGTTTTTCTTAACAATTGCTAAAGGTTTGTCATACAAAATGTTGTTCACATTGTGTATGTGTCTGTCTATATGTATACACGTATAAGTTGTGGTGTCACACGTGACAGAGATGAAACATGCATACACTGAGGAAAGTGATTCAAGTGGTGATGCCTGGTTACCTCAGTCAGTGTAGCGACAGGCTACGGGGTTCGATTCTTGGCAGGAGAGTGAGATCTCTTCTCAGCAGCGTTGAGATTGGCTTTGGGTCCCATCCCCTCCAGCCTCATATCCAAGGGCTACTTGGTGAACTTTCGCAAGGTTTTAGCGGCCGAGACGTGTAGCTGACCACTTACCCCCATCTAGTAGTGCCGAGGTTAAGAATAAGCGGATACTTCGGCCATACTTCTTGATGGCTTGGTGCTTAATTAATAAAACACAAGAACAACTTTACAGTTCAGCACTGTGGGGAAAGTTTACATGCTTAGGGGAACACTGCTGTGTAGTTATCATGTAAGCTTCTACAGTCGTTCACAGTCTGGCTGCGGCTTGTATATATTTTTTTTGTGTTTTTTCTTTTTTTGTCCTGAAAGACATACAATTTATCTGGTGGTTGAGGAGCAGTATGTGTTATTGTCAATGAGAGTTTTAGCCTCTCCCTATGACATCCATATCAATTAAGTCGCTCTTTTCTCTTTGGTCTCAGGATGTAATAATTCAGATCAGAGAAGTTCAGTCCAGTTGTTTCTTATTTACATGCTTACTTAACAACGGA